AAAATCCAGTGGTGAATAAATACCCCCAAAATAAAGTTTTATCTGTCTCAAAAAAATGCTAAAAAATTCATATGGATACAGTGTTGCATGACCGCGCAATTGTCATTCAAAGTGTGATAGCGCTGAAAGCTGAAAATTGGCCTGGACAGGAAGGGGGTGAAAGTGCCCGGACTGGAAGTGGTTAAAGAATCTTTAACACCATTTCCATCTCCATGCTGAAAATACATGATATATTTTATCATATCTCCAACACGGATCAGTGGTTTTTCACATGTACCTCAGAGTCAGCTACTGTAACATTGATACTTTTCCCAATGAACTTCAAGACCTCCAAGCAAAAAAATAGCCAGGGAACAAGCCGTATCGGGACCGGGATGTCCCGGAATAACTTGCGTGCGTGAGCCAAAACACTTCCTTGCACATGTAAAAGTGTTCCTGCGGCATCGTGATTAATAATGATCCAAGTCCGAAGGGTGATAGTGCAATAGATTTTCCATTAAACATCCCAATCTCAATATGGTTGACTTGTTGTCTGATTTGATTTATTGCCTTGCATGAGCAGGTTTATCGTTGCCAAGTCCGGAGGGTAACTCTTAATTTACTTTGTATGTTTAAGTGGAGGTAGACCAAGTCTTCTGCGCCATCAGCAAGCCACGGCTTTCTTCTTTACAGATACGGGTTTTTTTGGCAAAGGATAAGAGGTTAGTGACACAAATTGGATAAACTCAGGTCCAACACAGATCTGTCAATTCTCTTGATCCGAGATGGTCTTTTTTTTTTTTCTTTAGAACCACCAGCATGGCTTACTTCAATACAGTAATAAAAAAAAAAAGTCTACTTAGATTTTTTCGTTTAATGTTCTCACGGCCAAATCCAAATCTGAGATTTGTTCCATCAGATTATCTCCCGTGGATCCTTGGCATTAAACCAAAGGACAAAAATGGAATATATTGCAAGCTTACCAGTTCTATGATTTGGCGGTTGCATTAGTTATCTTTTTTATCTCTTGATCCTGACAGTAATTCTTCCTGTCGTAGTGCAGTAGTGGCCACCTTAAAAATGATCAAGAATGGCCCCTGACTCTGCCAGAGGGTGGCACGGTAGCAGTGCATTTTCGCAACTCAGCGCTTAACAATGTTGGTCCTACAGCAGAATATAGCAATGTGCCCTGAAGAAGTTGGTGTACAATTGGTTTCAATTGACACAAAAATAACCCCCAGCATTGCTGTCAGAGAACACAATAGTAACCCCAGCATTGGTATCAGTGGATGCTGTAATAACCCGGCACTATTGTCAGTGGACACAATAATAACCCCCAGTATTGGTGTTAGTTGTATACAATAATAACCCCTGAAGAAGTTGGTGTACAATTGGTTTCAATGGACACAACAATAACCCCCAGCATTGCTGTCAGAGAACGCAATAGTGATCCCAGCATTGGTATCAGGGGATGCTGTAATAACCCGGCACTATTGTCAGTGGACACAATAATAACCCCCAGCATTGGTGTTAGTTGTATGCAATAATAACCCCTGAAGAAGTTGGTGTACAATTGGTTTCAATGGACACAAAAATAACCCCCAGCATTGGTGTCAGAGAACGCAATAGTGACCCCAGCATTGGTATCAGTGGACACAATAATAACCCCCAGTATTGGTGTCAGTTGTATGCAATTATAACCCCCAGCACTGGCATCAGTGAATGCAATAATATTTCCCAGTATTGGTATCAATGAACGCAATAATAACCTCCAGCACTGGTGTCAGTTGTATACAACAATAACCACCAGCATTTGTGACAATGAACACAATATCAATCCCAGCACTGGTATCAGTGGATGCAATAATAATCCCAACATTGGTATCAGTGGATGCAATAATAATCCCAACATTGGTATCAGTGGATGCAATAATAATCCCAACATTGGTATCAGTGGATGAAATAATAATAATAATCCCAACATTGGTATCAGTGGATGCTGTAATAACCCCAGCACTATTGTCAGTGGATGCAATAATAACACCCAGTATTGGTGTCAGTTGTTTGCAATAATAACCCCCATTATTAGTGTCAGTTGTATGCAATAATAACCCCCATTATTGGTGTCAGTTGTGTGCAATAATAACCCCCAGCATTGGTGTTAGTGGACGCAATAATGACCCCCATATTTACATTGTAGATATGTAGGGCAGCACAGTGGCTAAATGGTTAGCATTTCTGCCTGGTAGTACTCGGTTCATTGGTTCGAATCCCAGCCACGGCACCTCCTGCCTGGAGTTTGCATGTTCTCTGTGTCTGTGTGGGTTTCCTCTAGGTACTCCAGTTTACTCCCACACTCTAAAGACATGCTGGTAGGTTAATTGGCTTCTCTCTAAATTGTCTCTAGTATGTGTATGTATGAATGTAAGTTAGGGACCTTAGATTGTACGCCCCTTGAGGGTTAGGGACTGATGTGAATGTACAATGTATACGTAAAGTGCTGTGTAATTTCATGGTGCTATATAAGTACCTGAAATAAATAAATAATAAATATACCTGGAATTTGTCTTTAAATACTTGTAGCGCTACCCTCGTGAGAGCCACTGTGTTTCTTGGTACCCCTTAGCTCTGTACAGCCAGGCAACACACATTATCCACAGTCAGTGAATAGTCCATGAGTTTGGATTCTATTATTTTATTAGGGGAAATATAACTTGGATATAGTAATAGGGATTATGGGATGGCCAATTCTGCTGGACTGTTCCTGGACTGTTCTTCTTCTTGAAATCCATCAGATCAGTAGAAACTGCCCCTTATGGGCGAGGAATTCGTAGACCCCTTGAGAGTTTGCTTAGCTAGCTTCAAACTACATGCAGAGATGTCTCCTCTCCCCTGTAGAACTGCTCCCGGCTCCACAGCCTGCCTACCAGGGGCAGACCGACCATTTGGAAACTCAGGCACTGCCTGAGGGCCCGGGGTCAGTAGGGGGCCCCATGAGATGCCCCTGGTACCTTTTTCATAGGCTTTTTTGAGTTTGGGCAAGGACACAGGGGCCCCATGATACCCTATTGCCCGGGGCCCCATGAGTTGTCAGTCCGCCCCTGCTGCCGACACTACCAGCCCTCCTGGCTGCTCTGAAGATCCCCCAGGACAAAGAAAATGAATTAGGCACAGTGCTGTTCTTTGAAAGCTTGCTACATGTGGCAGTCTCTCCCCTTGTAAATCCCTGGGTGTGCTTATGTACTCACTCTGTCCTTGCTCCCACTGGCCTTGATCCTATTCATGCCATGCTGCTAAATGGATCCTCCTGAGTCAGCCAGAGCCCAGCCTGGAGGACAACCCCCCCCCCCCCCCCCAAGACCACCAACAGTCTCCTCAGCACTCCATCTTCAACCTGGCTTTGCAGCCGGCCTGTTCCATATTTATGGACTGGTCTCACCACTCTACCAAGGCCTCCAAACCTGGGATTGGTTAGACTCCTATAAACATGCAAATTATACCTCCACCACTTCCTCCTACTGGCTTCTGGAAGGTTCTTGTGGTCCTCCAGAACCAGGTGGAGGCAATAGAGTCCCAAACTGTTAAGTCATCCAGCTTGACCTGCAGTAACCTTACCTAATCCCAGACTCACACAGTTACCATGAGTCCTGCACAATATATTTGCCTACACCATTATAGTAGCACACAAGAGGGTGCTACATATTCAATTATTTTGACTATCAGCTCCATATTGTAATTATAATAATGTATTTTCCTGATTCACTCCATTCTTATAAAATGGAAACCTTTCAAACTTTTTCCTCCTCATCCTGACTGCCCCTGGCCTGCACCTTTCATTCATTGGATATCAGTTCTTTCAATCATGGAGGCCCAGCATTGCATGTGGGCGTTACCTAGGAACAGCCACTCCTCAAGACTGACACCCACCTATCAAGACATGTGGATATTTGCATAACCCCTCCCACGAGCCAGCCCACTGCTTGTATCAAGGCAGAAGAGTACTGAAACAGGATGCTGTGATATTTTACTGCAGCTATGTACAGCACCCCGCCAGCCACGATCTGCCTGCCTTCCATAGAGATATACAGAGACCCAATGATGATATCACTGAATAAGGTATGTATTGAAAAGAGAAACGTTTTCTTTAAAACTTTATTAGCATTTTGATGGGGGGGGGAGGAATAAGCAGGGATGGCAAAATACAAGCAGATTAAACTTCGGCTTTAATATCAGCATTGCTGGTGCCGCTCTGTCATCCATATAAATCTTATATTCCCAATGTAGGCAGCATTCTGGAGAGGCAAGATTAACCTAATTATATACTGTACAGCAGTAGATTAGTTCCTTTTCTTTAAAAATTCTGGAGACTCTAGACGCATAGATGGGGAGGAGGTCTGTTCAAAGATCTACTTTTCAGAGGCAAATTTATGTGTGAATTAAGTAACATTGAAAATTTTGTATTTGTGGGTGAAACATTGCATTTGATTTTTTTCACTCACACTGCACATTTGATTTAAATGATATGTCTCGGCAAAATAAATTAAAGAAAAAAAAAAAAAAAAAAAAAAAAAAACCAGTACATTGCTGCAATAGATGCATATTTGACCATGCTTTGTCTCTTTAAAAACACTGCACAGTACAGAAAAATACAGTACATGCGAGAACATCTCATCAGTTTTTAAAATACTCAGACCAGCATGTCTGGCACCAACAACCATGCCATGTTCAAAGTCAGTTAAATCCCCTTTCTTCCCCATTCTGATGCTCGGTTTGAACTTCAGCAAGTCGTCTTCACCACGTCTACATGCCTTAATGCATTGAGTTGCTGCCATGTGATTGGCTGATTAGCAATTTGTGTTACCAAGCAATTGAACAGATGTACTTAATAAAGTGGCCGGTGAATGTATGTATATATTTTTTTTTTTTTTTTGCCCAAAAATACATTTAACCACTTCCCATCCGATCGCTGTATATAAACAGCCAGATGGTGGCAGTGCAGGGGCGGGTTGCCGTTCATAAATGCTCCCTGGGAGCGCACGGCACCACAATCTGGTGTCCGCTGTGTCCGGAAGACACAGCGGAACACCAATCTCTGTACAGGACCTCTGTGTAAGGTGCCAATCAGTGATCACATGAATAGGTGTAAGCAAGATGTCACTTGTGACATCATTGCTTACTACATGTAAAATCTGTGAATGATCACAGAGATCACATGGTACAGGGCTATTCACAACAGCCTTGTACCATGTGACGTGAGTATTGCATTTACAGCCTTTATGGGTGTAAAAGCAATCAATGTAAAAAAAAAAAAAAAATCTTCATCACCCCCCACAAGTAGTACAGTGTCACTATGGTGACAGTATGTTACAAAAAAAAAAAATATAATAATAATATAAAAAAAATTAAAAATTAAAAACATTTTGAAAAATTATAATTTTTGGTTATAAACTAATTTGGTTATTTTTTTTTTACTAAAAAGATAACTGAATACATTTGCCAAGATTTCTGAAGAAATATTATTTATTTGCAAATTTTATAAGAAAAACACACTTTTTTTTTTTAAATTTGTGGACTTTTTTATTCATATACAGTGGCTAAAAAAATTAAAATCCCAGTGGTGAATAAATACCCCCAAAATAAAGTTTTATCTGTCTCAAAAAAATGCTAAAAAATTCATATGGGTACAGTGTTGCATGACCGCGTAATTGTCAAAGTGTGACAGTACTGAAAGCTGAAAAATGGCCTGGACTGGAAGGGGGTGAATGTGTCAAACTTGAAATGGTTAAAGAAAACTTTTCTTGGATAATTATGGAGGCTGCTAGAAAAAAAAAGATAGTTGTCATTATGTCCTCTTGTTTTAATAGTTCAGGTAACTTACCAAGATCAAGTATGTTTTTAAGTATTGAAAATAAATTATTATTTTCAAATGTTATTTTTTTTTCCCCACTTACCTTCAGTGCTCTTCAAAGAACATACTCACCCACTCAGTGAATCCAGTGTTGTCTTGCTACAATTTACTGTTCAGGTACCACATAACAGGATCCATCTAGGTCCTCACCTGGTTGCCTCTTCCGGATGTAGGCAGCCAGCTCCGATGAAGTGTTTGGCCTCCCGGACCACCCCATTGGCAGCTCTGTGTACCAATCCTGCAGCCTCCTGGGAAATGTGATCTAGGTATCCCAGGAGGCTGCAGAACCAAGTACACATCATTCTAGCCTAGGTTGGAATGGTGGTGGGGGCTGGGACTAAAATAAAAAAAAAATATATGTAGCACTACCCCCTTAAGGGATGCTTATTAATTTTTGGGTTCCTTGTTAATCTAGACCTCTCTCTGAAAGCCCAACCACCGCTGACACCACCATACTTTTGTGACCAGAATAAGTTACCACTGTAAACAGACTCACACACAAGTTAGTGTAAACCGATATGAAGTTTATATTGAATTTGATGAAAAAGCACAAAATAGCATTGGCATATGCAGCAGATAATATCACCATTGTCAACTTTAAGGAAGAGGTTGAGACCTCGAAATGCGTTAGCCTGTTGGAAGTCCAGGGTTCCATTTTTTTGGACTTATATGCAATGTGGATTGGACACCGCTATGTAGTGTGATGTGCCTTTGACCTGTTTGCCTAATGTGATTACGATACTTACTTTTTGTCCTTCCAATAACATTTTTTTACGATAATGCACTAGGTCGGTGCGCCCTCTGTTTGTTTTTCTTTGTATCAGTGAGAATAACAATCAATAAACAGATAAACTTACTGTGGGTCCTCAGAACCTGATGACAAGGATTAGATTTGAAAATGGAGAGAGCTCTCGTCTATAATCAACCACTGTCCCTTTAAGAACAATATGGAGCCTTCTGTGCACTAGTTGGGGCCCAATTGGTGTGAAAATTATTTAAGGTGTAGATGTTAGTTAATAAGTGTAGTGTAGACAGTGTAAACCAATATGAAGTTTATATTGAATTTGAACATAGCTTGATCAAAACGCACAAAATAGCACTGGCATATGCAGCAGATATCACTCTTGTAAGCTTTAAGTAAAAGTAACAGCATCCTCAGTAAAGTACCAATAACTATTAGCAGGAATGCTTTCAGAAATGATCCACTGACTCCAATCTGAGGTGACTGTTGAATCCCCAGCAAGCGAGAACAACTATCAATAAATAGGTAAGCTCACTGTAGGTCCTCAGAACCTGATGACAAGCATTAATTTTGAAAATGGAGAGAACTCTCATCTATAATCAACCAATGTACCTTTAGCAACAATATGGAGTCTTCTGTGTGCTAGTTGGGGCCCAATTGGTGTGAAGATGGTGTAATTGATAGTTAATAAGTACTTCTCCTCTTAATGACAGTGAACTGATGTAAGGTCCACTTTAAGGCACTAAACAAGGACAGACTTGAAGTAGTGAAGTATAACAGTTGGTATAAATGTCTTTGAACAAGAACAACTCTCTCTGGATGTCAAGGGCCAACAGCAAAAGTAGTAGAAATCCTGTTCAGTTATGAAGAGTAAATTGTTGTTTCAGTTGCCACTGCTGTATTCTGGCCTGCAGCTGTGTGTCCTGTGGTCAGCTTGAATGATTGAATGATGATACTGTAATGCACGTGTTCCAACAATGGCGGCTGCGAGAACTAGGCTGCAAACTGAGGCAGCTATATGTAATGTCCGCAACTATGCACAGGTAGATAGCAGCTGTGATGAAATTGCCAGTTTTCACTTGTCAGTGTTAGTCAATCAATGGTGTCCAGCAGGTCTTAGCGGTCCATCTTTCTTTGGAGAAGGGGCCCGCACAGACTCTCGAGTCCCGGTACGGCATCCTGTCTGGTTTCTTGCTTACAGATTGGCTCCCTGGGAAGTATGGCAAGACTGATGGTCAGCAAACTCTTTCCGATCCTCCTCACTCTCTGACTCTGGCTCCATGGCCTGGTTCAATACTCTGGCCATCAGCACACTTCCTCCTCTCTCGATCTCTCCCCTCACACTTCCTGCTCTGTTTCCTGGGCTTTGAGATATATATGCCGCTGCCCACACTCAATGCGGCGTGGCATGGAAGCTATCAGCCTGTGGCACTGCTGAGGTGTTATGGAAGACCGGGATGCTTCAATAGCGGCCTTCAGCTCTTCTGCATTGTTCGGTCTCATGTCTCATCTTTCTCTTGGCAATGCCCCATAGATTCTCTATGGGGTTCAGGTCAGGCGAGTTTGCTGGCCAGTCAAGCATAGTAATCCCACAGCCATTGAAGCAGGTTTTGGTGCTTTTGGCAGTGTGGGCAGGTGCCAAGTCCTGCTGGAAAATGATGTCAGCATCCCCATAAAGCTCGTCTGTGGAAGGAAGCATGAAGTGCTCCAAAATCTCCTGGTAGACGGCTGCATTGACCCTGGACTTAATGAAGCACAGTGGACCAACACCAGCAGATGACATGGCTCCCCAAATCAACACAGACTGTGGAAACTTCACACTGGACCTCAAGCATCTTGCAGTGCCTCTCCATTCTTCCTCCATACTCGGGGTCCTTGGTTTCCAAATGAGATGCAAAAGTTGCTCTCATCAGAAAAAAAGACTTTGGACCACTGAGCAACAGACCAGGTCTGTTTTTCTTTAGCCCAGTTAAGACGCTTCTGACATGTTTGTTGTTCAGGAGCGGCTTGACAAGAGGAATATGACATTTGAAGCCCATGTCCAGGATCTGTCTGTGTGTGGTGGCTCTTGATGCACTGACTCCAGCCACAGTCCACTCCTTGTGAAAGTCCCCAACACTTTTGAATGTTCTTTTCCTGACAATTCTCTCCAGGCTGTGGTCATCCCTGCTGCTTGTGCACCTTTTTCTTCCACACTTTTCCCTTCCACATAACTTTCTATTAATGTGCTTTAATACAGCACTTTGGGAACATCCAACTTCTTTTGCAATTACATTTTGAGGCCTTCCCTCCTTATGGAGGGTGTCAGTGATGGTTTTCTGCACAACTGTCAGGTCAGCAGTCTTTCCCATGATTGTGATTCCTACTGAACCAGACTGAGAGACCATTTAAAGGCTCAGGAACCCTTTGCAGGTGCTTATGACTTAATTAGCTGATTAGAGTGGGACACTTTGAGCCGAGAATATTGCACTTTTCATAATATTCTCATTTTCTGAGATTGTGGATTTGGGGTTTTCATGAGCTGTAAGCCATAATCATCACAATGATGACAAATCACGGCTTGAACTATCTTGCTTTGCATGTAATGAGTCTATCTTATATATTAGTTTCACCTTTTAAGTTGCATTACTGAAATAAATGAACTTTTGCACGATATTCTAATTTTTTGAGTTTCACTTGTAGAAAAGAAAAAAAACACAATTCTGCTCACAGATAGGGGTAGTGCTAAAGAGGAACTATTTCCCTCTTGGGAGCTTAATTCCACTTTAATTTACTGCTGTGGCCACCATATGAATGCAGCAGATACAATAATGATGAGCAAGTGTTTTGAATCTTCTCCGATCTAACGATTGTTATATCTGTTTTAAGCAAAAGATTGTTCAATCATTTCTATAAGCTTTGCTCCTCTGCTTGTTTCTCAGGGTCACGTCAAGGTGAGAAGGAAGAGCTTTAATACAGCAGGTGAGCACGTAGAAGGACCATCTGCGTTGCAATCAATTCAAGGCTTGTATCCAAGTCCTTCCTTCGGTGAGCTGCTGAATGAAATTTCAGCCTGAAGTAGCTCCTTTTGAAAATTGGCAGATCTATTTACTGAAAGCGTGCCTCTCTCTCTCCTGATGTCTGAAGCCCCGTCGACAAGTTTGAAAGGAGAATATATAGACTGCTGACTCTGGGTCACAGGATGACAGGAGATGTAAGTCCCTGTTCAGAATTCCACCAAGTATTGTGTCTGCAGAGTTTAAATCTTTCAGGGATTTAAAGGACCCATAAACCCTAAACAGAACAGTACTCTATGTGAAGCACTGTCATGCTGTTAATGAAAAGAAAGTAACAAAACCCAACACAAAAGTGGTAATCTCAAAAGACAGTTGTCACAGAAACAGGTGTCTCCATTGGGAGATTTACCCTCACCTCTTGTTCTGTAAAATGTGGATTTCTCCTCACTTTCTCACTTTCTGTCCTGATGACAATAGTCCCCAAGGACAAATAGAGAGGCTAAATCTGCAAGGGATGTACCAAACGTAAATGCAAAAGTGGGCATAATATTTTTAATACCGTACAGGGGTCGTTCAAATTTCACATGTTGTTTGGGTAACT